ATGGCTGTAACGTCCTGCTTAGCTGCCTTTGTTTTTCTCTCTCCTGAAAAGTCCCCAGAGATCTTAGATTTTAAGGCACACTTGGAAATTTGTAGGCTTTCTGTCCCGGTTTCTTCCTTTCATTGTTTCAGGTTATTTCCTCTGGTTTTATCACAATGTTTATGTGAAAGTGGTACAGGATTTGAAAGGCTCTCTGTTTGTTGGTCGGGCTAATTATTATTCCTACAACTGCATAGCTTTCTAATTCAGTGGCTGTCAGCTCATAGCTGCCTAATGCTGCTGTGGGTTGCAGGCTGAACTCATCTTTCCTCGTGGTGCTACGTTCTTGAGCAAATCAGGCGTTGAGGACCCCTCACCAGGGGCCTCTGCAAGAAGAGGGTGAGACCCACAAGCCTTGCAGGGAGTCGTGTGGCAGATGAGCTGCGTGGGTGACTCTGTCTTGTAGACTTGAATCCCCATGTCTGTCTATGWGGGGTTCTCCCTTTCTCCATCACCTTTTCTGGTGCATCTTGTCCACAATTACTTAATTGTGGATGCTCTTACCTATGCACTTATTTTTACTGTCCCCCTCTCTATTTTAACTACCAACTACAGTTCAAGTTGAGGTCGAATTGCTTGGTCATAAGATGTCAGCATAGTTCCTGTTGTCCAAATAGCTCTGACAGCTAAATATGTATTGAATACTGCGTGGAAAGTTATTTAATGGATTGCATGGTTGAATGGATGCAGGATGAAAGTGGTTCGAGGCAAAATCACCTTCCACAGCCTCGAGTGGCCTACGTGAGTTAGGTGCACAGAGGGAAAAGAGTAGCCCTTGAGGCCTGTGCGCCTCAGATTGCTTAGACTCTCTTTTCTATTTGATATTTCCCTGCTCACTTGTCAGCAGAGAACATCCCAAAATAATCAGGAGTGTTCTTGTCCTCAAATGGTTGTTCCCCCTAAAAATGATGTSCCTTCCACAAAAAAATAATCTGTGTTTTTTCTTCTCTACACGTCCCTGAGGACAGGGTACTGAAATGGGCTSATGTTAAAATCTTGATTTTTTAGGCCTTCTGGGCTTCTTTCAGGTGGTTTAAGTTGACCTTCCCAAACGAGGGCTCACCCCAGGTATTTTAAAGCGACAAATTTAGTGCAGTTGCACATGTTACACCCATTTGTGCCCTTGATTTACCCCCTCCCTTTAATCTTCTTTTAATCCCTTGCCAGTTGGCATGAGTCGCCCTTCTGTCTGCCACCTGCTTTCTGTTGAATTGATTCTGAGTGGGTTTGTTGCTTAAAAAAAAAAAAATCTTGTGGACTTTTCTGGACTCCAGGCTTCTTCCTTAGATCTTCCCAAGACAAGAGAAAAAGCAATTTATTTCTCTCCCRGTGTTCAGCTTGGCCTGTGTGCCTCTCTGGGTCTCTGCTCCATGGGGCAGGTCTTGCAAGGCTTCTCTGAAGCCAGAACAGAGCAGGGAGAAATAAAAAGCTGTCAAAACGTTAGCAACAGGAGCAAGACAAGCGAGCGGAGGTTCTGACCCTAGTGGCGAAGGGATCAGAAAACAGATAATACAGGAAGAACTTGAGAGAGGGGAAAAAACAATGTTATCTCCATTTCAGCCTCTRCAAAGAGGCTTCGTATCTTTGACAGGGAGAGTTAGCTCATGGCGCTTACTGCAGTTTTAGATGGATAAGGGGAGTTTATTGGAAGAGATGGAGCAGATGAGGTCAAAGTTATTTAGTCCAGCAGGTCTAATAAAATCCCCTCAGAAAATGTAAACAGGCGGGAACAGTCAGCAGACCATTAGTGACCCCYGGTTGGGAAGGAGAGAGGGGAGAGATCTCGGAAGTCCAAAGAAAGGGAATTGCACCAGGAAAATGCCAATATATGGAAGGGTGTGGAACAAACAAATAACCTGTTGCTATTTACCCAACAGATACTGAAGTATTTTTTTTTCTCTTTTCCTTTTTATCAGAACTTCGATTCACTCACACTTCAGGTAGAATCGAGTTCATAATCCCTAAGATGGAAACATCTAATTAATTAAATTGGCTGTAATTTGCTTGTAGAAGTTTTTCTATTTACTTAGGGTGTCCAGAAAGCTGCAAATTAAAAATTGCTTAAACTACAGATATAGTGTATCTGCAACACAGATATCTATAAAGATGTGGCTCAGTTGTATTTTAGTGTATCATTTATATGAATGTTTAATTAATCTGCTTGAGTTTAAAGTGTTATATTTAACTCAATATAAAAGGAAGATACTATCTGGGGTAAGAGGAAGCAGCAGCGGTTTTATGTCTGTTGGGTGAAATCTCAGACTTMAGTGAACTTTTACAGCATAAAAGATTCTTCAGATATTTGGATATTTCTGACTTTTTGATTAAAAATGCAAAAAAAAAACTGTCTAGAAGCATTGTTAGTATCTTCTATAAAACCTCTTTGTGAACTCTCAGGATGGGGGATGACTTCAGTCTTTGCTCAGCCCTTCAGAAAAGGGATGGGAGAGAAAGTGTAGGGGAAGATTGTATCATTATCTTATGTAGCCCCGAGAATGTTGTCAGGATTTATTTGATGTACTGAGATTTAGTAATACACCAGTGTAATTACTGCGGCCTGTTTTTCTAAATAGGAGATTACGTCAGAGCTCGATCCTATTTCCTGCTGACATTCAGATTTTAAAGTAACAATAGGAGTTAATGACAACAGCATCATACTAAGTTGTCTTTCCAGTTATTCATTAAGATATATTTTTTCCAATAGTTAGGCCTTCTGAATTGCTCAGAAGCACTCAGGTTTCATCATATGACAGAAGAAAAATTGTTCTGGTTGACTTGTATTCCACTATGAATTTAATCTTTCTTGTCCGTTGCTTTCACATAAATTTCTCTTATGCAGTAAAATTGTATTCATTTGTTTTAAGAGTGGGTGTATGTATTTTTTTTCCCCTTTTAAAATCTTGGTGGCAATTTTTCTTGTGTTTCTCTTATTCACCACATTTTATGATGTGGGAAGRTAGTTTACTTTGCTGCACAGAATTATGTGCTTGAAACTTCCTCTTGCTAWCTATATGTCACTTTGTTTCTTTTGGAAACTTATTTAAAAGAATAGAAAATTTAAAAGTTTGGGTTTTGTTTCAGGGATTTTACTTTTCATGTCCCGAGATCCCACCAATGTGGGGATAATCCATTTGATTATGTTGACTCTTAGTTTTTTCTTGCGAGGAACACAACATTTCATCCACAAGAGAGAAAAAACAATTGTTTGCACAATGTASAGATGCACACATGTCTTGAAAAGTTTAGTGAGGGTCAACAGATACATTTAGAAGATCCTCCAGGCTTTTATGARCTCAGATTGTTGCAGGCACTAAGGCACCAGGATGGACATAGCGACCARTTAGAAAGGTAGCAAGGGGAGAGAAGCAGCTCACATTTTGCAGATTTGTCCTCAACTTTGCTCTGTGGGGTTAAGGCCCTGCCTCAGTGCTCGAGTTAGCTGCTCTCTGGGGACTGCAGGCTCATCTTCAAATGYTGCCCGCAGCTGCAATCCTGCATTTGCCCCAAGCCCTGCACAGAGAGCCTTGCAGCACCTGGTCCTGCTGCGAGCAGCGCTGCACGGGGAYGTGCGCTGGAGACCTCGCGCGTGCCCAGGCGCCTGCGGGCACGGCTGCCCGTGGCAGAACAGCGTGGGGGAAAGCAGGAGGGCGCAGCTCTGGGCAGAGGACAGGAAACTCCTTGCACCATCCCCAGGTGTCATCCCGTTTCCCTTTCACTCCACGGATTTCCCTCCGTTTATGACTAGRCAAGCTGTGTGTGGAAGAGGGAACCAAGTGCGGAGCCCAGCAGCCCGGGAGCAGAGCAACAGGCAGACACGTGTTGGGGTAGCTTGTTATTTACACAGAAGTTTTAAAACTGCAGTATTTTTTTCAGAATCAAAAAAAAAAAAAAGAAGAAAAAAATGGAAGGTAGTGTAATATCACAATATATCAATAGTGTGCTTGACTCTAAGTACTAAGAGGTCAAGAGAATGACTAGTGTTGGAGCTCCCACTTCTGATTTACCAGCATACGCAACACAAGCGATGTAGCCTGTAACCAGTGCAGACTCTGCCCATTCATCCTGGGCGTTTCTTTGTGTTATGGGTGTGTTTTTGTGTTTGTTTTGCTGGTATTGCTGTTTTGTTTTCTTTTTATTTGTTTGTTTTGTTTTGTGTTTCCTGAGTAATAAGCGTTGCCTCTTGGGACGTTATATGTGTTTGAAATGAGGTGGTTCGGGAGTGTGTCCAGCGATCCTTGGCTTTACCTGGCAAAGGGCAGAGGCAGGAGGTTCATGGTTGGAGTTCAGCTTCCTGTCGTGATAGGATAGTCATGGTCTTGTCATCTTCAATGCTGGTCTCACTTTTCACATTTTGGGGGAACGGGGCATTCTTCTGAAGTCGAGGGGTTAATATTGCAAKGGATCCAAGCGCGTCAGCTGGTGGCCTGAAAGCTTTTGCAGCCGGCTTTACCATTTCACCTTTGGTGCAAACTATGACACTGACTGCTATTTCAGTCCTGGATTTATTTTTTCTCTTGAGAAATGTCTGCCAGCAACAAAAGCAGACTGTAGTGCCACTGAAATGTGGTCAAAAGCCAAGTCAAGGGCAAGTGTAAAGCACACTAAAAATAAGGTGCCAAGGAGCACATTGCAAATGCAAATGCCAATATGTGCTAATCCTTTCCCTGTGCTCRGGTTGCCCAGACTTAGCCTGGACTCTGTTTATTTCTTTCTTCCCTTTATTCCTCAGCCGATGTATCCCAGTGTCCCCAAGAGCAAGCCCTGGTATTTTGTGCTAGTGAGTATCCCATTTTCTGATGCTTTAGGCTAGTCAAGCCTTCGAGACCAATTTGTATCCTGCCGTTCTTTACATATGGAAAATTCTTGATAATATCAAAGCAAATTGGCCTCCTTGCAAGCTTGTATGTAAAGTGCTTGCTTTAAAGTAACTAACAGGCTGCCCCCTCCCCGTGTCTCCTCAGATGTGTGCAACAGTACCGATCTCCCTGAAGTTGAAATCATCAGTCTACTGGAAGAGCAGCTGCCTCATTACAAGCTAAGAGCTGATACGATCTACGGTTATGACCACGACGACTGGCTCCATACGCCTCTCATTTCTCCCGATGCCAATATTGACTTAACAACTGAGCAAATAGAAGAGACCTTGAAATACTTCCGTAAGTCAAAAGTTCACAAATTATGTTGAAAATTGAATAAAATAGTCATTTTTGGTACCTTCACAGAAACATCTATGTAGTCTTTTATAACCATGAAAGGCAAGAGAAGTATCTGCTATTTATTGCTTTCTTCAGGTCTGGGGTAGATGGAAAACAAGAGAAATATTTAGTCAAAACAGAAGTTGCATTTGTAATCTGGACGTGCAACTCCATGGTCATGAAGTAAGAAGCTTGGTTATGTTTTGCTTAGTCAAAGGGAGGCTCTGGGAAAAATCAGCACCTAGATTTTAAATCCTCTATTTATTCAACTTCTAGTTGACTAGAAATTCTCTCTTATTCTTTAAATTTTGACTATTTCAGGTAATACGTATTTGAGTATGTATGTGTTTATGAGCACATATAAATTTTATGATTGTAGCCTAAGCATGTGAAAAGCACACTTATCTGATAYAGGCTTAACTTGTGAATTCTGAATGTGTGACTCATGAGGAAACTGAAGAGCTACTGCTTCCTGTATGAAAAAACAAATGTATTTTAAATCTTTCTCCTTAAATCAGAGCTTGTATAGAAGGGAAGGCAAGGACAATAAGGAGATAATACATGATTTACAAACTAGTTTTAACTTTTATCTAAATTCTCGTTGGTGAAACACTGCTGCTTTGTATATGAACTCTTTTGGGCAAGAGACTGCAATTTCTGTATCTATAAAATGTAGAAAGCTTAGACCCATCTCCTTATATACTTGTTTTGAACCTGTCCACTGGCACATTGCAGTGTTGTCTGATGCCACTAAGTGCCATCGTCATTACACAAAGTTAGATCACTGTCCTGCAGTTTAAGCTTTTAGGAAAGACTTGTGAAAATCTCTGTGAAGAGCCATATCGAGCATGTAGGTGTTTTTTACATTTTTTTCCCTTTCATTCTTTTCTTATTCTTGAGTCTCTGGATGCTCTTAGGCTGATGGGCTGCAAGTGTCTCTAAATTTCTTCCTTGGTGAGTGCTGACTTAGCTGTGCAAGTAGCCCTCTGTGATTTGTCCTCCATTTGTTGATTTATCAAGCAATGTATGCTTAGATATTTCTACCATTTTCCATGGTTTCACCTGAAGATGCAGTTTCACTGAATTAGTTCACTGTTACAGTCTGTAGAACATCAAGCAACAAGAACAAGATGATGTATAAAAACTGTAGTAGAYAGCCAAAGAAAACTAGTAGGATTATATAGAAAATAGCAGATAGATTTTTAAGCAGACTTCTTAAGGCACTGTGGGTCTCAGCGGGGATGAGTAATGGGGCTCAGCACAAACCTTTGCACAACTTCCTTATGTTGTGAAGTACCTGGAGAACTCACATTTTAAGGAGCCAAGTCAGTGGTGGGAAGCATTAACAATATGCAATGCTGAAGCCTCATGTGAATGTCTCACTAAAAGAGGCATTAAGAATTGTTGTAGACAACTAAATTCTGCTTTTTCTTCTATTCAGACATAAATAATGGAAGATGTGGAGGAAAGGGAAAGTTAAAGCTGATCTATGGAATCAATTGTACCTACAGCTGCTTGTTTTATTTCAGTCCATTAATGCTGTTGTTATAATGGCATGTGAGGGCTTCAAGAAACGTTTTGAAACATCAGGTTCCCAAAGGATTAGTAGCTGGGGTGTTCCTGACTCGACCCAAAGCTTGTTAATGTCGGGGGAAGAAGGAGGACTGCTAGAAGGGAAAATGTTCYGCTAATGGTGCAGGCACAAATGCATATGGACACAGCCCAACTCTTTAGGCCAAGCTGCTGCCAGGCATCCCACCTGCAGCACTGCATGGCTATTGGGCACGGGTACAAAATGAAGCTACCTACAGYGGAGAATGCAGTAGCTGCCTGGAACTGCGTTTTCTCAACTTTATCTAGTGATCTTTATTCAATATTGTTCATCAATTTTATCCAGCTTTTAGCTCATGATGATAATGAATGCACATGTGCGAATGGAATTCCTGACCCAACGTATTTTCTGTTTTCACTGCTTAGGTTGATTCCTTACTGCTTCTGTACAGGCACTGGTGCCTACAAAGTATTTCAAGAAATTACAAGAAGCGAATTTGGACTGATGGCCAGGAGATCTGGGATGGGGCCCTCGATCTGTTACCATGAACAAATTATATACCACATGAGAGAGTGTAACATCATAAAACCTGGGCATGTTTGGGAACAAATATTCACCATAAATGCTGCTTTATGACAAAGTACCTGTCAAAATAATATTTTTTGAACGTTGACACAAAAGGCCTGTGAGTTGTGTCCTCACCCTGATGGGGAATGTTCCCCAGGGAGGGGCTGATTGCACTAGGACACATTTTGACRCAGCAGTCCAGGGCATGTGTTATGTTCCTGCAGGATTTCCTTGGTTTTAAAGCCCTGTGTCAGGGGGTGACCAAATTCTGGAACTTTCTGCTCAGTGAATATTCACTGCTCAGTGAATAGTGGAAATTTGTATCCATGTGATCCAAGACCGCTGCAGCTATAGTTAAATTTGACGACCTTTTTTTGTTATTCGTTATCTGGCAGATTTCTTTGTAGGCTAAGCAAGCTCTCATCAGTTGTGCTGCAGTTCAGACGTGCTTACAGCAGAATGAATGCTTTTGCTGAAAATAAAATATCCCAGCCTTGCAGAATGTTGTTATACCTGCAGTCTTTGAGAGACGCTCAAAGATTGGTATTAAAACTTGAGCTAATGGAGGATGTTTTAGGTGTTAAATTAAATCTTACAATTGTTTATGGTCCTCATTGTTACAGTATTTGTCAGCTTCCAAACCAGGATATGGCATGAACAGGAGTTTAAAAGGGAAAGATATATTTGATTTTCGTTAGGAAATGTTCACAGGTTGAGAAACACTGGGCAGAGCAGGGTGTTTGTGCATGCAATGTGCATCATTAGGATATGGAAATATCCTGTCTTTGCAAGAYATCTTGCTGCCTGCATAGAGGGATTACTGCGTTGTGCTTATCAGGAGAGCAACATTTTGTAATGTCGTGCCTTGCCAGGCTGGTTAAGGGACAGGGATTTAGGTGGGAAGCAATCTCTTTGGTAACAAGATGATGAGTCCTGCAGTGTAACTCCCTGCCGTAATGATATTCAGATACCTGGTGTGGACAGCTGGAATTAGGAAAGGGAAACTCTTCCATCTTCTATTGCTCATAATTACATTTTCTCCTGCCACTCCTATTTAAAAACTAACGTTTAAAAGGCATTTGAGATGGATTCATTTGGTAATGGAGAGTCACTCGTTCCTTTGTATCTGCTGTAGGCTTGGAATAYGTTTTAACATTTTAAATCTCTACTCAGTGACGCCTTCCTGGTAAAGTCCTTTAAAGTGCCCTGAAGGTTTTGCTTTTTTTTGGTGTAAAAAGCAAACCAACCTTTTGCTTTGTAGTTGCTAAGCAAACTTTAGCTATGCTCAGAACATATTGATCTAATTCTCCATGGACACAGAAACACAGACTCTCCCTTGGTTGCTCCCCTAGGCAGTATGTATAAAGAATTGTTTGCTGTTTAAAATCTCAGATGTATTTCAATTACATTACATAAGTTTTTTCTACTGGGCACATGCATTTGCATTCCCACATATGCTCATTATGCATTTTACAATTTGATCTTATCATCTGTTTAGTATTTTCCTTTTCTATATATCAGTCTTGGTAATAGGAAACTTGTGGTATCATATWGCTGTCTGACTGTACATTTATATTTCATATAAAATCTGAAATGTTTTTACAGTACATTTATATTTATATACATTTATAAGAAATCCCCTGAAGTTGTTTAGATAAATGCAGATGTCTCCAAAGACCAGTAGGTGTGAAAGAATCTAAATCTCATGTAGTGACAGCACCTGTAATTCTCTGTATGCAGTTGTTCCCAAGAGAATCCCTGAGAAATACAACTTGTAGGAGTAATTTAAAAAATAATGGCATTGCATTGCTGTCCTTTAAAATGGAAGCATTTTCTGAAGAGTTGATGGGCATTTGGAATACTGAATTATCAAGCAGGGATGGTATACAGGGCTTTATTTCCATTTCCATCCAATCAGAAAGGACATTAGTAGCCAATAAGGTTCAGTCATATTTTTATTGAGACTGAATAATTTTTGAGTTTAGCAAAAAAAAAAAAAAAAAAAAAAAARGRRAGGATGATGGTAAAACTTCTGTGTTTACTTTTCATCATCTGAAGCAATGGAGCAGTTAGATTTAGAGAAATATTGTGTCATTTGGATTGAATAGAGAGGTGTTTTTGTTTTATTTTGTATTGTGTAGTAGAATAAGTGTCAATACTCATGGTAGGACTGTAGTCTTAATGGATATCTCTGTTTAGTTCTTGATTTCTGTTGATTGCTTCTTTAAGACTCCTTTGGTTTGTATAGATTTAATAGAGCATAAAAGCATATCAGGTCCTACTGCAAAGGGTGAATGGAGTAAATCTGATCTCAAAAGCAGCTTGGTATTCACAGAATGCCAGCTATTTTTATTATTTGTTATTTGTCCTCACACATATATATATAAGCATTAAACATGTACACAAAGACAAGCACGGGGGTGGATAGATGAAAAGAGCTTCAATGCCAAGATAGTATATAAGACTACTGTGGTATGGGAAGGCTTTCATTAAACTGAAAAATGAAGCAAAAACAACTTCCTCGGGATTTTTTTTTTGGGAGAGGGGCATTATCAGAAACTTGAGTTTAAACTAGTTTGATTGCTAGTCTAGCAGTTGGAAGACTTCTTAAGTAAAGATCTGTACAGTGTAAATATTTTATGCTACACTTGTTTCTTGGCTGTCTGTGTGCTGCAACTTTATACTGTGTTGATCCTAGTAATACTCTGCTATTTCCCCCCAAAATATTACTCTGCTTAACCTCTTTTTAATGTAGTGGATATGTAAGATACCACAACAACAGTCAACAGTGTTAGGAGCAGTGGTCTTACCTGATGTAAATGGACTCCCTTTCTCTGTRGTG